TCTGTTAGGTTTGAGTTGAGACAGGACCTGCAAAGGGAGAAGACCACGAGTAAACAGATCATGGGTTCAGGGGCAAAGTTTCGGATAAAGAAATATATTTGAAGTCATTTTTGTATCTGAAAGCTGTAAGAAGGATCATAGTTTCCAAGGAAGCAGATACAACTGGATTTTATTGGGGGGAGGGGTTGCTCTCTACTGGTAAAAAATAGAGCCCAATGTTAGGACATCATGTATAGTCATTACACACACTTCTTGGGGAGCCTATCTCTTTCCTTCCCCAGCTTCGCCCACGCTGCCTATTACCTCTTTGATGCTGTGACCTTTGCCCTTGCAGAGCTGCCTAGAGACAGGGGTGACAAGACCCACGTGAGGGGGGGGCTGTGCACATGCACACTCATACATTCCAGTGCAGCCTAAGGATGCTGGTGTGATTAGCATGTGACCTAGAAAACAGCAGGTATCCAAGGATTCGCTATTCCATCAAGAGCTTCCAAACAATGAACTACAGAAACTTAAAAGTTTTGCTAAGATAATACACCACCTAAGGTTTCCTCCTATCATGAGTCCTATATTCTGAGACCAATCTTCCTGGTTTTGTACACTTGACAATGTTAACTCCAAGTTGCATAACCACAGGAAGCCCTAGTTCAGGATGCTGAACTTTTCCGAATACCCTGTGTCTGCCACTATAAAGTGAGGACCACAGCAGGACCAAGTATGGGCAGAGTCACAGCGAGAACTCAGCGAGGTAAGGCACACAAAGCGTCAGCAGAGGCTCAATACATGGTTAAGACTTGAGGTTTTTTTTTTTTTTTTTTGAGCTACTGTGCAAGGCATTTGTTTATATTTCTAGTTCCCAAGCCAGGTTTTGTATACTCGCATGTGTACACACACACACACACACACACACACACATGCTAATTGTAGCCTTTTTTAGGGCACTGAAATGATTCCTTTGGCTATGTTTAGCGTAAGGACTATATTATTGCTGAAAGCTTCTTTCAACGAACAACTGATTTGCATGTCCGGTCATGGCCATTTCAGCCAAGTTACAATTTGAGTTACATGAACTTAATTTCTCTAGTGCTTCCTCATTCAGAAACAGGACATGTGATGGAGAGGACGACATTGTGATTCACATAAAATAATATTTTACCCATGAATTCAAAAACGTGTGAAACTGAGGACAAAATGTAAATTCAACCCCTATTTTCTTCATTCTCATAACTTATTCACTCAACAAATAAACAATTAAAGAGTACATACCAGGTTCCTGGTTGTATGCATGCAGGTGTGTGTGTGTGTGTGTGTGTGTGTGTGTGTGTGTGTGTGTTTGCAAAATGGTAAACTAACAGAGTTTAAATAGTTAGCAATTTGAAGAACCACTTAAAGTTCTAAATTCAAAGTCTCAATGTGGAATAATCAAGGATTTTAACATGTTATCTTCTTTTAAATATATACATGCACACAGACACAATTTATCAAGTTGAAGAACAGTTAATCCTAGTGAGAATAATAGCACAGTTCATAAGGCAGCAGGTGCAGCTATGGCTTGAAACCTTACAATCTGAAGAGAAAGTTTAGTATACATGGTAAGACTCAAAAACAACAAATCAATGGCTCTGAAATTGCATCATGTGAGGGAGCCAAGCAGAGAGTAAAGGTGGCCACTTATTCAGCAAGGATACAATGGTAGCTTGGCTAAATAAGCACATTGTGTTGGTCTTCACAGAAGGCATTAGAGAGATCTCCATTGTCACCTGCCAGGCCAGTGGCAGGAGATTAGATAGTGGCAATGAACAGACTGTCCTAGGCCCAGCTGATAATGCCGATGTAGATAAGTCACAGGTACCAGGACATTTACGTGCATTCCTTAAAGGAACCCAAGGGTGAAAACAGAAGACACATAACAGCAGCTACTAATGACTCCTAGGTTATCAATCTCAGTTCCTTTCCTGAACATATCGGACGTGGGATTAGCATGATTTGTCAAATGCTACCACAGTAGAAACTGCAAATGCCATGCTTTAAAGATCAACTGGAGACCATTAAGAACAAGTAATCAGAAAAAAAAAATCAAAACATTAGCTAGTATGCTTTAGGAATGTATTGCTACCAAAGATGTGGACCAGGAAATTGGCATTGTGGCGCAATAGGTTAGGCATCCCATACCAGACTGGTGGTTCGAGTTTCAGCTGCACCTCCACTGATTCAGCTTCTGGCTAATTCATCTGGAAAGGTTCTTTCTGTTGAGCACCATAACCTCACTCTCACTTTTGCCTTTGTGGTTTCACATTTAATAAAAAGCCTAATGGCTGTCTCTATGCTTCTGCCTGAAGGAGATCTTCCCTCTTACAATCCTACTTCCCTTCGTCTTCTTTGAACAGGAGCAGAAGCAAGACACACACAGTACTTGCTCAGGGCCAAGAGAAAGATAAGCCCACACTTTAACTTTGGCTTCCAGAAATGCTAAGTGTTCCCAATAGATCAAGGCTACCAAAGCTTCCCTTCTTTTCCCTCCAACCCCATGAGCCCCATTCCTGTTGCAAGTGCTGGAAAATTCTCTGCCAGATGTTGGGGGAGGTCAATGGGTGGGGGAGTGAGCAATTTCAGTAAACAACTACCCATGTGTAGATATCCCTATGCACCTGCCTCCCCCAAACAAAAGTAAGTGAGGCCTTTGTGACACTGCAACATGAGATAATGCACAGAACACACCAAGGACATTGCTCACCATGACCTAAAAGAGACAGGACCTGAAATGTGGAGAGTGAGAGTAATACTGAAGGGGGACAGACAAATAAGGCTATCCCTCTTGTTAAAAAAAAAAAAAACAACGTATTTGCAGATCACCAATATTAGCAAATTCCAACCCAAACTACCTCCATATCAAAAGGTCAATTTAGAGAGTGACTTCCCAACACAGGGGAATTGGCCAGGGACAGAAATCATATGGGAACCTTACCCCAGGAGGGAAATATGTTTTCAGTTACATCAGGGCCTAGCCCAGACTTTCCCACAGCTCTTCCTAAAAAGGAACTTGGCAATGAGAACAGCAGAGCTGGAGGGGACGTCCTTGGCTTGAGAGGTGAGGCCCTTCAGAGTCCCGAGGAAAGTTGGGCAGAAGTTCTCCCCACTGGTAATAACATTGAAGAATCAACCTCACATCCCTTTCATTAATTCCCTTGACAGGCAGCTCTAGTTACCATGCAGGCACCACACAATCAAAACACAAGCATGTCAAGTGGCCCCATCTGTGGTGGGGCCTGCCAAGGCTCATGTCACATCAACACGAGGAAGCAGATCCCAGCTCCCCAGACTGCGTGCTTGGTTCTGTAAGCAATCCCCCCAGAGGCAGAAAACCACTAGTGCTCCGCTGAAGGACTAGAGGAGCTTTGGTGACACCCCTCTCTCCTGCATCTAGGCTTCTTGTGCTAAATGTGAGAGCCTGACGAGAGCCAAGCCCACGTCTGGCTTTGGGGCTTGTCTCTAAACTTAGCCACACAGACCTCCCTCCTGCTTCCCTTTAGCCTACACAGAGTTTCAGCCATGCAGGACACATGGCAGCTTAGATTAGGAAGATGATTAAGGCAATGCAATACCCTTCCTGGGGAGGCTGAGTTTGAGTTCACAGCTCTACTGGGCTGAAGTGTCTGGGTGCAGAATGAGCAACAGAGCAAGTCTTTAAATCAAGGAATCTTACTAAAATCACTGCAGGAGCTCCAAAACAACTTGTTCTTCTTGTAGAACAATGCTGACCATCTATTGGCTAAACAATGTTAATTAGATGGGTACAAAGGGTAAGGACTCCCACACTAAGTAACAGCTCATGTATGTCAAGGGTGAGCATTAACACATCTCAGCCTTGTACTTCACACCCACTCTTCTTTGGCAGCCAGAATCCTTTCCTCAATTCCATAAAACAGCTTGTTAGTGATGGATGAAGCAGCCATGGCAGCCAGAGGCCAGAGGCCTCTCATCTTAGATCTCAGAGACTCTGGGCGACTTGGTGGGGCTGTATGGGCTCTTGCCCATCTCCAACCTCAACCATTATGCAGTCAGCTGGTTATACCACAGGAAGGAGGATGCAAACTCAAATTTCAGGGACTGACTCTATCCATCAGTTCCAAATCAGAAAAGCTCAAACTAGACACATCCATGGAGCTTGTTGGCCACTTTGGCTGCCTAAGCTACAAAACATCCAAGGGTAATGACTAGAGTCACTGTTAGCTCACGCTTCAGAAGGCTCCTCTGCAAGAGTCTGGAGCGTTAACTCAAAGTTCTGGAAACACATTGCTGGCCTGGCCTGTGAGGATGGAGCTGGTTCTTTGTCTCCTCGCCTAAGTTATTCCAGTAGGTAGCGGCCACTTTGGAGGACTTGGGAGTGGCTGCCCTGCCAGCTCCAGGAGGTACTGGCTGGGAAGGAGATGAAGCCATCCAGGCTGCCTGTCTCCCAGTGTGAAGGCCTCAGTTCACTGTTTCACTCTCCATTCAAATAACCATGGCATGTCAGCTCTGCTGGCCTCCTTGATTGTACAGAAATAAATAAATGAATTATGTTGTTGGGGTTTGGGCTTCGGCACAAACACATGGTTTGCATTTATCCACACAGTGAGAGGTCCACCAGCCACTTGATATAAAAGAGCAAAATGATAATTCTTTTCTTTAGGCACTCTGGTGCCATATGGAATGTATATAAATCATATTTTTGTTTTAACAGCGGAGGCTTTGTTGATAGATAAACATGTGGTTTATCTAAAAAAAAAAAAAAGAGGACTGTGCTTTGAACAATCATTTAATGGCTGTGGATGTGCCAAATAAAAATAAAAACATAATTTTGAAAGGAGCTGGCCTCGTGCCCAAATCTGTAACAAGGAATTTCTCCTGAACCAAAGTGGTTAAGGCCCATCGATCTGTTTTGAGTTTAAGCCGTGCTCTCTACTCAACCCCATGACACATGGAATCCCAGGCTAATGCACTCTAATAAGACAAGACGTTACCTTTATGAACGACCTCATGGAGAAGAGATTGGCGAGCATCGTGGAGAGGCCTTGGGCCAGGCAGCTCTGGGCTATGAAACCCAACTTGAGTTCTGCAAGGCAGATTGCGTCATCACCCTCTTTCCAATTCCAGCTCGGGATGTTTAGCAGATGGGCCTGGGGAAACAAAACCAGGTATGAGACCTTGCTTTGTCCAATGTTCAATTGTTTAGAATCTCTTCTGGGAAACACTGTACTGCCCAATATTTGGGGTCATTCAGATTCGTCTCCGTTTTGCTTTGCTTTTTGCCTGGGTCTGGCACGTGGTGGTTTGTTCTTCTTACAGCCGTGCCAGACTTCAGTCTCTCTGGAACGCTGTTCCTGTCCCCACCAGGAGTCCAAGTCCTCTCCTCTGGCTGGTTATGGAGCCAGAGAGAGCCCATAGGGGATTTCCTGCGGTGACAGATCCATCACGGGGGTGATGAGGACATCTGACTAGGTTGGTCGTACTTTGGCTCCTGCAGCGGGCTGTGTCAGATGCCTGGGCATTTTTCTTTTTCCTTCTTTTTTTTTTTAGGCTGTCTTCCTAGTATTTCAGATCAGTGACCCCTAAACTAGAGCAGATAACAAAGTCAGAGATGGGACATACACAGATTGCAGGCTCCACGACCGAGTCTTTGACTCGGAGGGACTGGGGTGTAACTGGGGACTTGCCTGGTGTGTTTGAGGGGATGCAGCTTCTGATGCACTAGGAGAAGCTAAATCACTGGGCAAATCTCAGTGCTGGCCTTTCACTGTGTGCTGCAAGATGACAATGAGATCAGATCCCAAGACAAGGACCTAGACAGCTGTGGTCATCCAGTTGTTTTTAAGCAGCCTCAAGTGAAGAGTGGTAGATAGTAAGAATGGCTTCAAACAGTGGGAGAAAATGGAGTTAGAAAATAAGTTTATGGCCCCGGCACAGTAGCCTAGAAGCTAAAGTCCTCGCCTTGCACACGCTGGGATCCCATATGGGCACTGGTTCTAATTCTGGCAGCTCCACTTCCTATCCAGCTCCCTGCTTGTTGCCTGAGAAAGCAGTCAAGGACGGCCCAAAGTCTTAGGACCCTGCACCCACATGACAGACCCGGAAGAAGCTCCTGGCTCTTGGCTTTGGGTCAGCTCAGCTCTGGCTGTTGTGGCCGCTTGAGGAGTGAATCAGTGGACGGAAGATCTTCCTCTCTGCCTCTCCACCTCTCTGACTTTCCAATAAAAATAAATCTTTTTTAAAAAATAAAAAGTTTATTTTGGTGCAAAATTTTTTTCTTGCAATCCAGGCATCATTTGTTCATAAAACATGTTTGCCATGAACTTTTTGAAGATCCTCCCCCTATATTGGATGAAAGAAGCAAATTATAGAAAGTTCTATAGAGTTGGAGAAATCAGAGGAAAAAAATACAGAAAAGATTTACAAGGCCTAATGTCAAGTATAGCATTTGGGTTTAAAAAAATCAGCTACAGAATTTCAAAATGACAAGACCTCACTTGGTTGCAGACATAACAGACAATGAAAAAAACAACAATAAATAGAATAAGGAACGTTTAAAAGTGTGAGTAACAAAAACCTCACTGAAGGGGCTAGCCATCTGACACACTGTAGAAAAAGTCAGGCTTTGCTTGCTAGAAAAATCATGCGCAGATCCAGGCACTTGAGCACTTCATCCTGTTGTGAAATGGATAGATGGATGCCAGAGTACTTGATTCAGTTTCAACAGACAGACCTGAAGGGGGAAAATGATCTATTGCATTACTCTCAGAGCAAAGTGACAAAGAGAAGGTGAGGATTCAGGAAAAGATCTCTGAACACTGGTGATGAAGACAGCCAGCCACACCTGGCCCGACAAAGCAGCATGTCCGCTTGGGGCCAGGACAGCTGTATCTGAGTGCTTGAGATCTGATTGGTCCTGGTTTGTTTAAGCAGGCAGAGTCAGGACAGGCTGGTGAACATCACAAGAAAACAGGTTTCTAGGCTTGTTTCATAAAGGTGGTTTCCAAGGACACAATTTGTACAATAAAAGAAGACTACCACCAAAAACACAGGTCTTCATCCCTAAAACTAAATTATCATCCAAGTGATCTCTGCTGTGCATGAGAATCCTTCTGAGCCCCTGCAGGTGTCAAAAGTTCATGACCCTCAAATTATTTCTGCCCATGTATCAGCAGACACCAGGAGCACCCCTTTCTTTGGAGACAATATGTGACAGTTGTACCAGGAGAATGGAAGAGGCTGTGTGAAAAGAGTAAGGTCAAGGGCCTCATGCTCTTTTGACAGAAACACCACTCTGATGACATTGCTTTTTGCAAAAATCTGCTTCTCTTGATCATGCTGAGTCATATGCTAGCACTCAGGGGAGATGGCTCTGTCCTCCCTGATGTAAACATGGTTGGAGCAGCCCCGAGCCTGGGCCACAGTGGGAGGGAACCTGTGCGAGACTCAGCATCAGAGAACCCAGCTCCCTGCCACCATGGGCTCTGCTTTGCACCCACTTCTCTTCCTATGCACACCTGCTTATGAAGCCACCTTCTCCCTTCACTTCCCTAGCACTGTAGATACCACTTCAACTTAAGTAGACAAATATCCACTTGCAGTTAGATCCTCTAAGGAAAAATGGAGAAAAATCAGCTCTGAGAAATAAACAACTAAATCATTGTATGTAAAAGAAACTTTGGGTGGTCTAAGCCCCAGAGACATATCACACAGCCTTCATACATTCTTCACACACACACATACAAAACCTCTCCAAGGAAACCTCTCCTATCCCCTAAGTACTATCCAGAATACAACACTCAAGTTTTCAGGCCTTGGGTCCCTCGTGCTGTCACCTGGTTTGAATTCTTTAGACATACTTTACATGTTATTACATAAGAACGTCAAGTTGGTTTCATGATCCATGCTTCGCAGCTTCCCTTCGGGCCCTCAGATTTTCTCTAGTCATGGGCCAAGGACTAAGGGTGATATGCCAGAGAATGAGAGGGAGGTCTGTGTGCATGAAGCAAAGAGCACCTAGGAACTCAAATTCATTGTGTCTAACAACTTTGTCCTCTTCCATGTGAGGAAACTGGTAGAGGATGCCAAGCTTATCAAAAACACAGGAGATAGGGAGAAAATCTTCTCTAATTTGGAGATGTTAAGGAACAGGTGCGACTGCTACTGCACCAGCCTCATCTTGTGGAGAAGGAATGGAAAACCACAAGAGATGCATTCCAGCCCTAGTTCTAGCTATCTGGGCATACAACTCAATTTAGGAAAGTCACAATGAAGAACAACAAACAAAACAAAGCCATGAGAAAGAAAGCACTGTAATAATATGATTGTTCAATGGCAAAGGCCTCCAGCAGGGAAGCTCAAAGCAACTGGCATCCACGTTAGGCAACTGGCAGATAGCTTCCAAGTCAGAAACAAAAGCCTTTCTTTCTGGAGTCAACTGGGAAAAATCTTTTGTGAAAGTTATCAATAGACAAACTGTTGTGCGTGATAATTTTCCAAGACACCTTGAATCCACTCTTGGAGAGCTTCCGGCCATGTTTCTCGGATCAGGAGCTCTGTCCCACCTCTCTTTTGCATTTAGAGATGGCTAGATTAAATGTTCTTCTCTTCATGGGAGATTTGTTGATATTGTATAGATCTCTTTGGAGAGCAATAGCTCTTCTCTATGAGGCCTACTCTCAGGAAACACAGCTTGCTTGCTTCAGTGGGCTGTGGTTCCACTGCAAGAGAGGATGGTGGCTGCGAGTGTGCCTCTTAGCTTACTGGCACTGAATGAGCCAAGTTTGTACCCAGCAGAGTTGTGTTCTCTCCACGATAGAGCTCAGCATCCCTGGTCTGCAGTTACACCAGGATGCTAAAATGCACAGATGGTCCAATGAGGACTAAATGAGATAATGGATGTCAAAGCTCTTTGAAAATCATAAAATGCGACACAAATGTCTGTGATTATGATGATGACAAATGCAGGGCCAGTTTTACAGGGAGAGAAAGTAGGCAGTTTCCCTACATCCCTCTGTGCTCCAGGACGTCACCATCACTAGCTCACAGAGGGTTGAAATGCTTTCTAATTCAGGGCCGGTGTCCAATGACAGGATGAAATGTCCCTTGGAACATGTTCATTACATTGTCAATTTGCATGCGTATCTCAGGTTTTCCCAAAAGCAAATTTTAACGGGTAGAAATTTCTGGGCATTTAAGACAGGTAAAGAGAGTGTGCCAAGATATCAAGAGCTAAAACATTCAAAGGGGAGAAGAAAGAAAACATGTTAAAAGGTTAGAGAGAAGCTTGTTGAGAAACAGAGCAAAACTGCGGAGGAAAATGCATAATGTCCAAATGAGGAATGTCTATGAGGAATGAGCTCATGGTCGTGACCAGACTTTCAGTCCTTTCCCTGGAATAGCAGAGAAATGCGCTTCGGTCAGTCACTCCACCTCTGGTCTTTCCTAATCTTACAAGGATCTGCTAGTGATTTCTGCCTATCCCTGAAAGGCAAAAATTTGTAGATAATCCTCAGCAAGAAGTGTTTTAAGCAAATAGTTCATGGGTCAGCAGATGACCTCACTGTTGTTCTGCATGATTGCAATCCAGAGATTTGCAGAAGACATCCAGTTCACTATGATCAGTTGACCAGGTACCATCTGCAAGTTGGGCCTGTTGAGTTACTTAGAGTTTGACAAGAATCATGTAACAGAAATTCTCTTTAATTTTTTGAAGATGCTACATCAACCATCATTGAAAGGAGACAAAAAACTGAGAAAGAACTGACATCCCTTTCTAAACATACAACACTAATTGAGCCTATTCAATCTAAATTCAGCCAAAAATCTAAACAAGAGCTTAAAGTACTCCTACACTCAAGGAAACTTCAAATAACAAATGAAAGAAGGAACACCCCCAGCAGCAGGAGCTGTCACCAGTCACAACCTGGTTAACACAATTCACCTCCACCTCCGGGGGCTGCTGTCTCCAAGTGGATGGCTGTGAGTTACCAAGGCCCTCACATTCTCTCTTCAGCGTCCTCGAGCTCTCAGTGACAAACAGGAGGACGTGATCACCAGGCCCACTGGCTGAAGAGCAACATGTGCAGAAGAGCCACCTGCCGAGGGCTGGGCAATACTTGGCAGTGAGCAGCAGTTCCAAGTGCTGGGCCAGTTACTGACAGCCGGCTCCACTCAACAATAGCCTCTGTTGAGCCTCCGCAATGGACTAGCCATTGCCAGCAATTAAGGGATAATGGCATGGTGCTGGTACATTTGGCAGAGCGGGGATTTCCCTGGGTCACCGGATGGCCTATTTCGCAGGGAATATGGCTGGTAAGAAGGGGCACACTCTCACTCATCACCCTGCAGGGAGTTATTCTGCACAGACAGGACACCTGGCTCCAGGTGTGCAGCAGCCTCCAGCTTCAAAGCTTCATTAAGGAAGAAAACTGCTGCCGAGTCAAACCCTGAGCAAGGTGCCACCTTTCCTCCCCCAAAGCTGCCTTCTAGGGAGTTTACTGACTGGCTGAGTGCAAGAGCATCAATGCCTTTGAATAAGACAGGAGTCAGGTTTACTTAAGGGCAATCACAGGGGAACAATGCAGACACTGGCCTTTGCTTTCTCCTAATCAATGTTGTATTGTAAGATAAATATTCCTTTGTATTGAATCTCTGGAAAATCAACCTTTTTTCCCCTGAAATCACCTCTGCAAATTCTCATTCTGAATGCAAGAATGCTCCCTCGATTCTGGTTTCAGATAGAAACGTCCTGTCACCCTCCTGGTGCAATCTGTACACTTTAATTCCTACACTAAGAGTACAAAACCAGACTCCTCTCCCTGCATCTACTGACATCCTCTTAGGGTGAGACAGAATGCTAACTGCACGGTAGGGATTCAATATAGAATGCAGCAGTGTAGCACCTAAGAAGGGAAGCAGTAAAATGGAAGTATGGTTAAAATCTAAAAACACACCAAAATTGCCAAAGCTGACAGTTCTACGAATGCTTCCTGAAGGAATTAATCAATGTATGAAGCTTCCTACCAGTGGCCAGCTGCAACCAAGGAGTTGGGACTGGAGAAATGCATCAGGGGGATTTATTCTCATTTTATTTAAGAGATGAATGGATGAAGGCAGAGAGAGAAAAAGCGAACACACCTATCTGAGTTCATTTCCCAAATGCCTCTATAGACCCAGGCTGAATTTGGGAGCTAAAAATTCAATCCATGCAGGAGATATGGACCCAACCACTTGAGCCATCACCTGACGGCTTCCAGCTGCACATTGAAAGAAGCTGAAATTTGGAACCACAGCAGAGACCAGAACCCAGGTATGCACTCCAATGTAGTACAAGGGTGTCTTCCTCAGCGTCGTAACTGTTAGATATCCACTTCTGCCAGGGAGAGTCTTAAACCTCTTCACTCGGGCCTTTGAGTTGCACTCGTGTATGTGTGAGTGCCTGCAGTGCAGTGGCTGCCTGGGAAGATGGGAGAAACTGGAACGAGAGCCACGGACATGTCTTCAAGCCTAGATCAGATCCTCACTGGCTTACCTTATTGTGATACTGCAGCATCTGCGTGATGATCCTTATCTTCGGATGGTAGTTCTTTATGGAGATGACTCTGAAAAAGAAAGAACCAAAGGTGAAGCAGGGCTGGCTTTACCCACACAGTCTGAGATAAAAATGAATCTGATCATCTCCAAATGGGGCTCCTGTAGGGCGAACAGCCAGTGACATCTACAGGAGCTACATGCACTGGACCAACTTCACCTGTATTTCCACCCCTCATGTCTTGGCCGTGTGAACAGAAAACACAAAACTGGGGTCCGGCACAGCGGCATAGCAATAACCCTCCTTCTGCATCATTGGCACCCCATATGGGCCAGCTGCTCCACTTCTGGGCTAGCTCCCTGCTCACGGCCTGGGAAAGCGGCAGACGATGGCTCAATTCTTTGGGCCCCTGCACACTCATGTGGGAGAACTGGGCTCTAGGCTCCTAGCTCTGGATTAACTAAGTTCTAGCCACTGTGGCCATTTGGGGAGTGAACCACCACGTGGAAGATCTCTTTCTCTCACTCTTCTCTCTGTAAATCTACCTTTCAAAACAATTTTTTTTAAATCACAAATTATCATTGTCTAATTCTTGAGCTAAAACTATGGAGTAGCCATTGGATGTACTGGGGTGTGTGTGTGTGCGTGTGTGTTAGAGAATCCTCATATGGGATTGTACACATCACTGTACTGGATGTGTGTCGGGGCTGGGGGAGCAGGAGAGGAGAGGGAATGAAACACCTGGGCTCCAGTCCCAGCAACTGCGTGAGCAGACTGGGTGACCTTCAGGAAATCCCTGAGCTCTCAGTTCCTGCTTCCTCATCTGGTCACTGGGGGCACTGGTACCTGCTTTATTTACTTCACAGGCTTGGTATGAGCAGCAAATGGAAGACCAGATGTGAGAATGCTTTGAAATCATTAAAAAGCTCTCTCCACGTGTAAGTTATGGTTTTTGTCATTACCGACTCTGTCAGAGGTGACATTGTACATTTCCTTTTGTGACAAGGAAGGCTAACGAATGGAATTCCACAGAAAGGTCCACCTCCTAAGCCTCATTAGAAATTCAAGTGCAGTCAGTTCCTAAGACCACCCCCGGAAAACTTCCTGCCTGGCCATGCTCCCTGCCTCACCCCTTCTTATACAAAGATGGGAGAGAGAAGGCAGCCAAGGAGCAGTGTGAGCTGAGAGGCTGCAGCTTGGGAATTCAGGAAATGGATCACACTCCAGCTTCCCCACCCCTACACAAATCCACCCTGGGCTTTTGCACTTGATGAATTTCATTTTCTTTTTGAAGAAGTGTTGGGCTGGGCCGTGCTTATAATTCAACGAGCCTCGGTCAGCCCTGGCCATGCAGCTGCCAGCACTAGGCAGTTCTTGGTACTCCCTCATCTCAAATGGATCTCTGACTTTTAACTTCAGAAGGGGCAGAATGGTCTCATTAAACTAAGGAGGAAATAGTATTATGCAAATAAGGGTAAGACAGGACCCATTCTTAACGCTGAACTTCCCATTTCCCCTGCCTACTGACCCTTAGTTCTGATGTTCCTTAATGAATGGCTTGATCACATTTCAGATGCTCCTTGTCCCCAGTAATTCTTATGCCTTTGTATCCTGCCAATCACCCTGGTACCTAAATGCCTTCATATTGACTTCATCAGAGTTGAAGTGTACATACAGCATTATGATGGAGAAAGATGGCCATTTCCAAATTGTTATTCATTTCTGTCATTTACATTTAGACAGTTTCTTTAAAACCCTACATTTTCATTACTTCAAATAACAGAAAAAACAGTCAAAGGTGGAATTCTATTTATTAAAAAAAAAAAAACAGTGACACAACCACACACGAAGCTGGTGTGGTCACTTTCCAGGTGTGAGTATTGGGGGTGGAACCAGGTGTGAAGCCAGGCCCCATTCCACCCTCTTTCAGCCTGGCAAGGAGTCAACATGACAGCTTCCATGAAGCAACTGCACCAGCAGCGTGTTGCCAGCTCCAAGTGAAAGAGAAGATTGAACCAGATGTTCCCTGCCAGACACAAGGGCCAGATGCTGTGGGGAGAACGCAAGTATCCAAAGTGGACAGGAGGATTCCCCCACCTTACCAAAGGGAAAGCTCCTCTCCCTCAGGGCCACTGATGAAAAGCAAAGAAAAAGGCCCTGACCCCAGGAAAACTCCCAGCACCAGGGAATCAAGAGGGGAGTTTTTGCCTGGACCGAAGTATGTGCTGGGTACAACCAGGTGGGCCTTCCTGGGAGTATGCTCAGAGTGATGTTTCTCTGTCTCATTCCAAACCAGTTTTCTGCAATTATGCTAAAGAAGAGACCAAGTGCATAGAGGCATTAACTACCTGGAGGAAAATGTCCCAATGTTTGAAATGTCGTTTCATAGTCCCAGGAGGTAAAGAGGGGTGTGTGGAAAGAACCATCACCCAACAACTTTGCTCCTAAATGTGGAAAGGATACTGACAAGAGACGGGACCTTGGATGAGCAGAAAAGGCACCAGGCAACAAACCCCTCCCCACCCCTGAAAATGCTTTGCCAAGATGGGGAGGACCTGCAGTCCCATATGTTTGTGATACACTCTTTAGTAAATTATGTCAGAGATTCATTTTAGTTTTAAAAGCACAAAGACTTTCAGGGAAGAACAACAGTATGGGGAAACTGATAGAAAGATGTGAATCAGTCAATGACTGGCTCTTCTGGGTGTGCCTAATCAAAGCGCTGTAGACACACTCAGAAAGTGCTCACAAGGGGTTGCCCAGTCTTCAAGTCGACATCATGGGCCACATAATTCTCTCTTTGAGAACATTCTGTGCCATAGTGTCTCTAAAAACTAGTGGTATCTGCCCAACCTGGTGCCAGCAAGACCATCCTGTGGTTATGCCTATTAGAATGTTAGAAAATATCCCCAGGGGAGCAGAATCCTCCCCAAGTAAGATAGCTCAGGTCCACTGCTAATAGGGATCATGCCACCTTAATTCAGGCCTGCATCTATCAATTTAAATCAATCTCTCTCTCTCTCTCTCTAAGTCACAAACCAAGAGCAGGTGTGAGCAGGCCTCCTTTAGGTGGTAACCTGTGTCCCACTGCCCTTCCTAGATCAGGACAGCCACAACTCACCCCCTGCCCCAAGCAGAAGGGACTTCTGGGACAAAAGAAGTTCCAAAAGACACAGCGCCCTTCAGAGCATCCTAAGTGCCTGCCAGTGAGCATTCCCCAGCCCCACAGGAGTACCTCATGATATTAGAGGCGTCTTCCGCATCTGGGTCAGCACAGTACTTGTTGGCCAGGATCAGACACGCATCTGCTGACTCTATCTAAGACACCAAAAGGAAAAAAAAAATCACAGAACACAAACATATAAACAGCCACGCTCCACTGCAGTCTTTCTTTGCTGACAGCTCTCAGGGAACCTGGTGGTTTGCAGGAAAGCAGAAAACAATCCTGAGAGATTATAGTTGTTGTTGAAAGCGTAGGTTGTGAGTTCTTGTTATGGTATAAACATTTCATTTTGTTTCTGTCAGAGGGTACAGCATGTACCTTGCTAATTATACTTTTCATTTGGCACAAATGCGTACACGTAGGATTCCCAGCTTTCTTTAAGTAACAAATAATTGAAGCTCCAGTCCCCTCCCCACCTCCTTCCTCAACCATCTGCACCATCTTCATTTTTACAGTTAGGGAATGGAGTTTGCTGGCTAAACCTTCCTTGCTGGTGAGCCAACTAACTAAAGAGTGAAGAGTTTAAACATGTAGTCTGCAATGCACTACCTCTAACCTTTCACATTATCAGCATCTGTGGACTATGAAGAGATCAGCATCCTAATTATTCAAGTGGTACTAAAACATTCAAAGAGCGGCAAACCAATGTGCATAAAAGGGGCTTTTAAGAGACAAACCCAGAGTACAACTTACTGACTTATCTAAGCATGAGCCAAGAGCGTTTATTCCTTAGAGGCAACTGTGGGCTGCACGTGCTAATAACTGTTTGCATTTCAGTTTGGTCTATGCTTTCTCTATGTCATCCTTGGATGTCACATTATTTGTCACTTGGGTCACATCTGGATAATAAGAACCAGACTATGCAAGTGTTAGCATTCTCATTCTGGGTCACGTCTGAAATCTATCCTACTTGGAATGCTGAACCTAAGAATATTGCTGCATGTGGTGGGAAGGTAGAGCTGCTTCCATGACTTAGCAGAGATCACCTCTAGATTTCTTCAACAATGAAATTAGTTTACCCAAATCCTTTTGGATTTTTCATGTCTGCCAACATGAATTTAGTGATGTCCACAGCCAGCACTGAAACTTCAGGAAATTCACAATATCAGTATTCACCCACTGGCATGCAAATGCTGAGCATGCTCACACAGTGAGAAAGCAGCAGAGAATATTTGCCTTCCCTTTCTAAGTTTCAAATGTGCTTCTGAGGACAGTATAACTTAGCAAGTTCTGGAAAGAAAGATGAACTCATTACCAAGTAATGTCAGACACCTGCATGTTTACTTTTGCATCTTGAGACCTTTTTGGAAGGGAAAAAGCTCAAGTTTCTTTTTATGGCTTAGTAAAATTTGATTTTAAATTTTATCCTAATGTTCAGATGTAAAAACAAAAAACTAGGTGTCAGACCTGCATTGAGCTTAACTTCATTGCTCAAGAAGGGAACAACTTGGTTAGCATGTTGTATATGAGAGTACTGAATGTGTACAACTCCTTCAGTTGCAGCTGATATTGAGGGTAACAAGTTCTTTTTAGTCTAGTATATGCCAAAAGAACAAGGTCCTGGGACCACTGGAAGGGTAACAACAAGGTTAGGATCTGATATCAATTTAGGGGTTTAGGAGATTATGATCAGACATCCCAGGGGCCATGCTTCACCACCAGAGTCAGACTCCAGGACCCCATTCCCTAGAAGAAATAAACATAGATGTCACCCCTTCCTGCTTACCTTGACTCTTGCAAGATCATGTGGATTGAGGACCGAACCCTGATAAAATTCCACCTGAGTAAAATGTCTTTTGAACAGAGCTTCAAGCTCCAGGTTAGGGGAAATGCTGCAGAGGGAAAGAAGAAACATCCATTAGCACAACGGAGTTGAAGTTTCCAGCCTGCATTTACCCTTTCTCACTTCCACACTGAGACCTGGGGTGAGGTTTTTACCTCCAAAGCATCCCCCTTCCTTGCCGTAAGCAGAAGGCTCACATTCAAGAAAGCTAGAACTTCAGCCCAACATAAAATCAAAGCCAGGACCAAGCTAAAGGTCAGGTCACAGCCTATGGGAGGCAACGTCTTCATTTTACAAGTGAGGAAGCTGGAGCTCTGAGATCTGCCATGGTTTATTTTGAGGATCCACTCAACTGCACCACAAGCTGAGGTGCCCAGATTAAACAGGATCTCTGGGTGTGTTTGGATGAGACGGGTATTGAGTTAGCAAACTCAGAGAACCACTTAGCCCTTCTCCATGCGGATGGTCCTCAGCTCATCTTGTAAGGACCTGAAGAAAAGACAGGTCAGAAGGTGAAGGACTTGGCCCCTTTGGTTCTTTACTCACTGCGTGAGCTGGGCTATTTCCCTTCATCTCCTCTTGCTGTTTAGCTTGGAATTACACCTCTGAGTCCCTTGGTTCTTAGGCCTCTCCACACAAAGTGAACTGTACCCCCAGATTTCTGGGGTCTCCAGCCTAAGAACAGCAAACCACATGACTGCTCAGCCTCCACAATCAATGCACTAGCTCCTCCTAATCCATCTCTCTGGATAAATGGGTAGACAGCTGCAGGCATGCCTCAGTGTCCCTGGGAGATTAGCTCCAGGACCCATCATGGACCAAAGTCTGTGGATACTCAAGCTCCTTATATAAAGGAAGCTGTTATATCCAATGGCATCGTATTCACAAATAACCTATATGCATTCATCAGTATACTTTTGATCATCTCTAGATTGCTTATAATTCCTGATATGACATAAATGCTAGATTATTGTACCTTATGGCCTGAACAATAATGACAAGAAAAACAAACTCTACAATACAAATGCCCTCTTTTTCTTGGATATTTTTGGTGCATGGTTGGCTGAATTCTGGGAAGAAGAACCTGCAGATACAGATAGCCAGCTCTCTCTGACCTTTACATCTCCAGCTCTCTCCTATTGACTTTTGCAGCAGAACCCTAATACAATCCAGAGCTGGACTGTATTACCCTAGCAGAGCCATTCTGCCCTTTGGGGTCTTTCTCTGCTTCCCAGCTGAATGAGCTTCTCACCCACCAAGTCCTGGACCCAAAATGGCACCTCTGGGAATCACAGAGGAGTTAGTTTACTCTTAACACTGGTCTTGTTCATACATGTACATGGTCTTCATTAACATTCCTAGGGCTGGGTTGTGCAGGCACTTTTCCCGCAGGAAAGTAAGCATTCAACCACCGACTGACCCATTTTCTCTTTGATTAACTCTGCAGACAGAAAACAACTACTCTGTATTAGGTGCTGTGCTCAGTACTACGAGGTAATCTGTCAACAAACATGCTAAACCAACACTTGTTTACCATTTACTGTCGGTAACAGCAATACTTGTTCATGTTTTTGATAACTTCCTATGTAGCAGACAACATTCCAAGCGCTCAGCAGCTACTAAGTCATTCCAACTCATATGACTAACTCAGAGCTTCAAGAGGTTCATGAATGGAGTCATCCACTACAAATCTGCTGAGGGCACAAAGGTGAATCCTAGAAGGGAAGCATTAGCTTATTCCAACAGAAGCAGGAGGTGAGAGAAGAGTGGTCCTTGTGTGACTCTGACTGGTCTTCCAGAGCAAGCCAAGTCTCATCTCTGAGAAACCTGCGCTGACAACACAACAGCTCTAGTTCCTCTATGACAGAGACACCCTGTATGGTTCTCCAGTTGGTGACACAGACATTAGCGTTTGCTGGGTAATATCAGATCTAGGTCCTCCCACTGTTGTATGCATGCTCATCTTAAAATGCTCGATCAATGTGAGGAAAGAAACTACACAGCAGACCTCTCATGAACGTTTGGAAATGCTGAGCTGAGAACTGGCCTCGTGTCGAGGGCAGTCAGTAGCTAGGTACTGAATTAGAACTCACTTCTGTCCAGCTATGGCTTAATCTGCCTTTTCAGAGTTTGGAAAATTTGGTGCAGAGAAGAAACACAGTAGTGCTTCACCCGACATGGTGGCAAGTCAGAAGTCTGGCATCCTGCACACACACACGAGGGAAGGGTGCACACATGAGCTTTGCAGGGAAGTCACTCTCAGTGAGCTCTCGGAGCAGGACTGAGTGCAGGTGGGCACCACACTATCATGTCAACACCAACACGGGGGCTTCTGCACTGTGATGCCAAGACCAGCCCTACATTCACTTCCTCTCCACAAAACATGCATGATGATTGTTGTGGGCTAAGGAGTTGATTAATGCTTGTTAGGCTGAGCAGGAACAGGAACTGGGCAGGAACAGGAACTGGGCTTGTGGCTAAAAACACCTAGACTAATTGAACTTATCTATATCCAATATCCTGCTAAACGAGGATGTGGGGGAAGAGTATATAAGGAGAGGTGAAAGAGCAATAAAGCAAGACTTCGCAGAGACTTCTACCATCACTGGTCTCCTGTCGGTGCTTCATCCCCAGACCCTCTCCCTGTCCATGTTACTGGCTCTGCTGGTCAGAGCAGATGATGATGATAACAGCCTCTCGTCAAAAGGGCAGAGCTGCTCAATTCTCTTTCTGTTGCAAACTACCCTTTACCTAGAAGGGACATCAGGCAACGCTTAACACTTCCACAACATTGGGTGGAGAGGAGATCTTTTGCTTTCTTCATCTTTAAAAAGCCTGCTTGAGGACACCTGCCTCCAAGTTCACTGTGCAACCTGAACAATTTGATTTTTCATGATCACAGGTAACATGTATCAAGCGCTTAACAACCTGGCTGATTCTGTTCAGTGCGCTTTACATGGATTATTTGCTTAGCTTGCTTAACCTCCATTAACTGGTTGAGAGAGGACTGAAACAGGGGACCACAAGTCCACAACATGGACTTTTTTACTCCCTCTGTAAATTCAATGACACTGGCCCAGAGTCCCACCAGCAAGCTCCCAGGAACAGCTGTTGTTAACATCATTACTTTCTACCACGATTCCTCTTATATTTTGGTGTCTGATTTAATCATTACTACTCCCACCCTTCTGAGGTAGCCATATCATACAGCTACTGATCCCACAGCAGACACTGCAAACACATGTGGATTACATAGGCTCTGATTTATGAAGGTACGGCAATGATGAATAGGACCCATAAGGAATTGCACCAGCATGTCCTCCAGAGAGCTGCTCACAAGTGGCTGCAGAACTGTCTATGCAGAGCTAAGTTCTTTTCCCTTTGCTGAATTTGTAGTGGCTTCCCTTTCCACTGGTTCCAGAACGTCTTCTCCAGGGAGGCCCACAGGGGTCATGGTTGATTCAACTCTGACTCGACTCCTTGCTATCTCCATGTCCCCTAGTCCTAAAGATGCTCAGGGAGCCCCCCCGCTCCACCCACCCAGAAACTGTTTCTTACTTGTGAAGAAACACAATCTCCACATTGACGTCATCTCGGTCTTTGTGTAGAAAGTCCTTCAGGAAGTTGGAAACGCTCTCCAGGGTGATGTGTCCACAGACCACAATGTGCCTGAACAGGAGAGGCAAGTTAGCTGAGGCCAACAGCAGTTCAGGACCCCACCACCCACTCCCCAGCAAGGCAGAGGGGGCAAGGCAACTGCAGGGCAAGCATTCATTTCCACCCTCCTGCTCGGTAAAGCCGGCTCCCATCCCTGCAGGGCTGTGAGGCAAAGCGGCAGTGCCAGCAGGTGCTCAGAGACTCCAGGCGAAAGAGGCATATGGCTGCTCACCTGATGCTGCACAAAATCCTATTAAGAGCCCAACCATTTGGCCAAACGGTTTTATGCATTTAACAATAAGTGACATTATGCTTGCGCTTAAATGCTGCACTATCAAGTCCCTTGCAGATTCATATCTCTCCCTTTCTGCCCACAAAGCGTCCTCCCGGGAGATTTACCGTATGAGTCTTGGTTTATGACATAGGGCTTATCAGGTAATGAGATAACAAATCTTGCTGAAACGATGATTTTGTGTGTAAGAAAGTGGACCTTTATCAGGGTGGCTAATGTGTGGCTCGACACATTATAGGCTCTGCTGGTCATAAGCAGTAAAAAGCAAATTTTGCATTTTTCCACCATAACTCCTCTGACAATGGGGGAATGGAGCACTTTACAGTAAGTGAGCATTACTCAAGGCTAAATGGGGAGAGGATGCACATGGAATCAGAGATCATGCTGCCAGTGGGGTGTCCCTGGAGGGCTGCTGCCAAAGGGTGCCTGAGATTCCTGCCAGGGTCAAAGGAAATCAGTCGCAAGATGGGGAGAAGCAAGGAAAGGATAAGCCTGGAATTGCTTGCTTCGTCCTAGGCTCGTGTCAGGAGCCATGTACTATAGCCACACTGAAGCCATTTTGAATATAGAACTATGGGCCAGTGGAAAACCCCCGGCTGGCTAGATGCTTGGGAAAGAAGTTATGAAACTGATCACACGCCTAGCTTCAATTGTTTCTAGCAACTGTTCCAGAATGTGATTTATGCTGTACCTGCCGACATCATGTTACTGATTACCTATGCTATTGTTGATATGCTGGTTACTATGGTTGATGTGGTGGCAATCGGTCACAATCGGTCTTGAGACCATGGCTTGCATCCCAGTTTCTCCTTTCCTCCCTGAGCCTTAGTTACTAAAGAATATAAAAACCCTTAGTTGAAATCAATAAAATGACAGCTTGATCAGACATACTGTCTTGCTGTCTATTCTTCGTGTCTCTTGTCTGTCCCTTCATTCTCTCCTAGGTTGGCTGTGACCACCCCCCCTTGACTGTCCTGCTGGACAGGGCAGTCTCGTGATTCTGGAAATGATATCTGGCCCCATGAAACAAGCTCTCCATCCAGAACCATCTAAAGCAGCAGGCTCTCCAACATCTTTGGACACCTGGACCAATCTAACTTTTTGCACTTGGCTATCCTGTGTTAACTTTATTTACTATGTGATGCCCAACTCGAAATAAGACATTCTGGTGTAAGAGTTTAGCCCCAAAATGAAAGCTGGAGACTGACTGTGGATATAGCACTGTTGACTTCCAGTGAGGAAATGTGTGTGCAACAAGGGGCTTAGTGTCTGACCCTGGGTCCCTCTGGCTGACAGTGACAGAGCGAAGATTGCTGTCTGTGCTCTGAGACTCAGGCAGGTGGTACACACACAGAACAGTAATTTCCTGGGTTAAATGTGGAGCAGCCAGGCCCTCTGCACTTCCTAATTGCCCTGTGCACATTCCAGGAAGGCTGAGAGCTCATTGGTTGGAGGTGGCTCATAATGGGAGCCAGCAATGATGGCTTCTGCAATGTTCCATTAGATGCCATTACAAGAGCCTGCCCTTTCGTTGTAATTTGGTGCTTGACTAAGTATGTGAGAATAATGCAGTAAACTCATTGGTGAAAGGATAATGATGCAGAACAAAGAGTAAATCAATAGTATGCACGAGGCAGTTAATAATATCACTGTTATGGACTGTTATTGTTACGGTGGTGCACTGAGCCATCAGACGAGCGGAGGCCGTCTATGGGAGGGAGGGTGTCAGTGGATCCTCAGAAAAGAGCAAGGATTCCTTGGTTCTTCCAGCCACTGCTGCCTCATGCCTGGAGCCTCTTTCATTGCCCCATTCATGACTATAAGGTTGTGAAATACATGACATGTCAGAACCCATGGTTTAGAATTAACATTTACACCACATACATATAAATATATGTGCGTGTAAGTATGCAGTGTGCTACTTGATATCTTACAATGTCTCCCCTGGCACATGTGCTTTCATATGAACAACATGAGCTGCAGTGGTGGACTTGTAGTACAGCAGTTAAGAAGCCATATCTGAGTGCCAGAGTTTGAGTCCCGATGTGGCACCCAATTTTAGGTTTTTGCTAGTGTGTCCCTGGGAGGCAGGGGGTGATGACATGAGTAATAGGCCCTTGCCAGCCAGAGGGGTCAGACCTAGATGTAGCTCCTAGCTCCTGGCTTTGACCTGGCCTCATTTAGGCTATCCTGGGCACTGTAGAGTGAAGCAGTGGATGAGATATATTCCATTCTGCCTTTCAAAGAAACTAAGTAAAAAACAAACAAACAGGCTAAAAGTACACAGACATGTTCTGCATAAGGTTTCTGATGCTGAACTCCCCAGGCGTGCTCAAGATGACCAGGGCACAAGATTTCCCCACCCAACTTGACCACCCCACAAATGACAATGCAGCTGCTTGATGCCCTTCTGTTGCTTTCTGGCCACAGAGCTCCAAGTTTAAGAACGAGGCCAACACAAATCCAGGGCCTGGGGATCCACCCCTGCAGGATGGATATAGTTGAATCTCTGCCTGTCATTTGAGTGTGAAACTCATTCACTGAGGGTGTTTTGCTCTGCTTTCCCAACTATGCAGCATCCTGGTCACATTTCTTATCTACATTTAATGCAAAAAGGAAACTGAGAGGTTAAAACCACCCAGACAACCTCTCGCACAGGGCACTGCAAAGTTCAAAGCTCTATAACAGCAAAAGGCTGGCCATTATTCAAAGCTGGACTCCGGTCCATGATAGGTCAGGGGAAATGCCTGACCATCCATCCTTCTGATCCCTACGCAGAGAACAGAAGGCATATCTGACAGCATCCTCTCTCCTCCTCCCCTGAAATCATTCATCCCTGGAAAAGACGTGAGTGAAGTGGAAGGGGAGGAGACGAACCTCTCCCCACTGCTACCCTGTCCTGGAATAAAGCACAGCTGGCTGATTTATTCAACCTTAGAGAAAGTCAGGGTTTTCTTAGTTCAGAATGTGCTGGATCCACATAAAGTATCTTCCAAAGCAATCAATATTATCCCTTAAGCCTTTAATTAGCTTTCACTTCTCTTAAGAAGTAGACAAATGCTGGCAGGAGAGAGAAGAAAAAGAAGGAATGGCTTTTCCATTTGGTGCTGGCTGTCCGACACCATTCTAGACAACTGAATATTCATATACTTTAACTATAATGTGATTTCCGGAGTAGAGAACAGTCTTTATCAAAAAAGAAGGGGAAAAGCTTGAACATAATTGGCATTTTTGCTCTGAAAATGTGAGATTGATTGAAAGCAGATTGCCTTTTTGTCCAAGGAGAATTATTAGGAACATTATCATGGCAACCTTGGAGAACCCATAATGAATGTTCCAATCTGCCCTCTATCTGATTTGAAGATTTATGGCCTCCCCTTTTCATGCCAGCGAGCATCCCTTCCTTTGTGTTTACCCTACAGTGAAAGTTAGCAAGGGGGCCACATATTGAACACATTCCAATACATGTGGAATTGCTGAAAGGGAGGGGCTGCCCCACTAAGCCACACCAGCATTAGAAGATCTGCTTCTATCAGCTGGGATCTGAGGAAGTGTCTGTCAGGGGCCTTGCAGGAGTATGAGGGGTGGGATGGTGGATCTGGAAAATTATTTTCCAAAAATATTTCCAGGATTTTCGTGAAGTCCAGGGGGCAGTCACTTAGGGAAGAGTATTGTCGTGGGGCAAAGAGAAGCAGAATTCACAGCATCCTCAATTATGATGAATACGATGAAAAATATTTGAAGATTGAGAGCAGGGGATGCCCTCCTGGGAAGAAATGGTGAGTGTTCACAGGATGTGATTTGAAGAAGGCCTGAAAGATCCCATCCAAAATGACCTCTGTTGGGTTTCCCGGCAATGATAAATCTAACATGCGAGGCTGACACCTGACAGAGCACACCGCTGAAAGAATCTTGGGCTGGGAAGGAACAGGTGTAGCATCACTCCACTCCAGTTACAAAGGAACTGCACACGAGTCTCAGCAAAGGCCGAGTGATGGGCAGAAATCCCAGTTCCCACTGTCAGAAACTGTAAACTCCACTTCCAACGTTAGCCACATTATCCACCAAGTCAAGGGGCTACCAATGAATGCAGATGTCCATTTTAGATACTGCTTGCCACATGTAGCTTGGGAATGTCACATCAGCTTAGGTATCCACAGGGTAACAAAGGTCTCAGCGTTTCCTTTAGAACAGGGAATATTTAGGGAAGTTAGGCCACGAAGGCAGCCAAATTTGTCCCCATGGCTCTCAATCTTTTTAGTAGACTGATCATCTTCATGATTAATTTCTACAGGGCCTGTCCCTATGGGTAACCCACCTACACCAACAACAGTTTCTGATCTGACAGACCTTATGGTTTCTAAAGCTTTGTTTAACTCTGTGAACAAAGACTTCTTGGTCAAAGGTAACATCAGTTGACCATAAACAAGTGTGAAATGGTTTAGGAAATGTCTTGAATGTCAAATTAACAGCAGAAGACATTTCCTGGAAAGGAGTTACTCATTCCAGCATAGTGCCTGGTGCTAGGTAAAGGCTCCATGGACCCAGGCTGGGTGGAATAGGGGTGGGTATCATTGTTGGAATGTGGAACAGGCAGACCCATTTAGTTAGGAGTAATTTCATGAGGATATGAATACTGCCTAACTACAGTACACTCTACCAGGGGTCTCCGGGAAATTGCCAACTGCTCATTTCATGGGTTCGTCTTCACCCAAAATAT